TTGCATGAAATATTCCCTTGGTATCTCTAATTTTCTTGAAGAGATCTCTAGTCTTTCCCATTCTATTGTTTTCCTCTATTTCTTTGCACTGATCACTGAGGAAGGCTTTCTTATCTCTCCTTGCTATTCTTTGGAACTCTGCATTCAAATGGCTATTTTCCTTTTCTCCTTTGCTTTTCACTTCTCCTCTTTTCACAGCTATTTGTAAGGCCTCCTCAGACAGCCATTTTGCTTTTTTGCATTTCTTTTTCTTGGGGATGGTCCTGATCCCTCTCTCCTGTACAATGTCATGAACCTCTGTCCATAGTTCAACAGACACTCTGTCTATCAGATCTAGTCCCTGAAATCTATTTCTCACTTCCACTGTATAACCATAAGTGATTTGGTTTAGGTCATACCTGAATGGTTTAATGGTTTTCCCCACTTTCTTCAATTTAAGTCTGAATTTGGCAAGAAGTTCATGATTTGATGATCATGATCTTCAGCATTACTAGTCGGGTAAATATCTCTAGACAAACTGAAATAACACTCTCATTTTTCTCTCGTATCCTCTGCCCCCAAAGCCTCCTTAACCATGTCATCAAGATCAACAAAAAAAGTTTTCAACTCCTTTACAAAGTCATTCTCTCAGTGCACTGTGATGCTCTAAAACTTTTTTGGCCAAGCACCATGGCATGCTCCAGATCCATAAACACAGAGTAACTACATCAGTTACGAAAGAAAAAGCATGTTTCTATTCTGCAGAGACACATTCCTCAAACTCCGCAGGCTTGTTAAAAGCCATAGAGAACACTTTTTAAGAAGAGATAGGCCCAGAAATGGGGTAGAAAACTTCAGTGAGAGCCACAGTTGTCCTTACAAGATATATTCTGTCTGAAATTGCTGAGATTAGAGGGACTTCTCTGGTGCTCTGTGGCTGAGACTCGGAGTTCCCAATGCAGGGGGCCCACACTCAATCCTTGGTGTGGGAACTAGATCCCACATACTGCAACTAAAGATTTTGCCTGGCGCAAAGAGGATAGAACATCCTGCATGACACAACTAAGACCAGCACAGCCAAAAAGTAAATAAAAATTTCTTAAAAAAAGCAACTTTAGCTAAGAGGGTCAGAAAAGCATCTCTGAGGAGGTGGCTTTTGAGCAGACTGGACCAGAGTGAGGGCATTGTCATGCAGGCATCTGGAGGAAAGGTGATCCAGGTATTTTGCATGTTCAGGAACAACCAGGAGGACAGAGGGTCAAGTGTTAGGATCGAAGGTCAGAGAGGAAGGAGGGCGGACCTGGTTGGTAACATTGGTCAATTCTGGGTAGTGGGTGTGTCTTATGTTCTGGATTTTTTTTAATTAAAAAAAAAACCAAACTGAAATAAAGACAGACAGATGTAAAATGTAGCAGCTTGGTTGGCAAAAGGATAAACGGGAGATCTACCCATTGTGGAAGGCCCTGTGTGGGATCAAGGTGGTCATTCCTGCAGGACAGGTATGTCCCCTCTGTATAGTAGAAGGCAGGGGATTAGAATCCAGCCCAGCCCAGCCCCACCCCATCCCCCACATCTCATGAAGTCAGAGTCCTTGAATCAGAGTCAAATCAGAGTCAGAATCAGGATAGAGGGGCGCTAGGACCCAGTCCAGAGATCATAGAGACCAGGTGATCCACTGAGGCTGCCCCCTCCCCACCCAGTGGACACCTGGCTACTTGGTCAAACATCCTTTCATGCAGAGCCCACATGCAGGCCAAATCCTTTTCAGGGACTTGCCTGGTGGTCCAGGGGCTAAGACTCCACACTCCCAATGCAGGGGGCCCGGGTTCAATCCCTAGTCAGGGAACTAGATCCCACATGCCACAACTAAGAGCTCATATGCTGCAACTAACACCTGGCGCAGCCAAAATAAATAAGCAGTAATAACTTTAAAAAATAAATAAATAAAATTGCTGAGGCTCAAAGTCTATTATCAGTGGAGACGCCATAGCTAATCAGATACCAATTTCTATTTATTAATTTCTTTAGCAAACATCCTTCTTACCACATCGCTCTTGAGAAAGCCAGCTCTGTTGTCAGCAATGCTGTGGTTTGCAGGGCTCCTTCTGGGCCCAGTAACCTGCCCGTTCACCCCGTTAGCTTCACAGTGTGTCTGAGAACTTCAATACGTGACCAAAGACATAAACTCGACACTACTATTATACTTGAAACACAGCCCTCTCCCGGGCAACCAGTCATTTTCACTTTCCATCAAGAAGCTCCCGTCCAGGAAAGTGCAGAGGAAAAAAAAGAATAGGAAAGAAGCCACTGCTGCTTCCAGTGAAAGGAAGGGAGCAGGGGGGTGCAACCCCTCGAGCTCCCTGTGGCCCATCGCTGCTGTGATCCTGCCCCTGGCTTGGGTGCGTCAGGAAACCCCGGAGAATGCCACTTCTGGGAACAGTAAATCACTGCACCTGTGCTCAGGCTGTCCACACATCTGCTTCATGGCCAGCCCCCCTAACCTGCCCCAGTACACTTGCCAAAACTCATACTCCCAGGAAGCCCAGGAGGTTTCCACTGTGTTTGAGGCCCCCTTTCCTCTTTCTATGATTCTACATGTTTGCAAACTGACTCGATCTTCTTTCTTTTCCTAGATGTGTTAAAGGGTTCCATTTTTAGTTGAGCAAAGAGAACTTAAAGCAAGGAAGGAGAAGAAAGCACTTTTCCAATCCCCTCATCACACCACTGGGCTGTATTTAGGAAATATAGCCTTATCAAGGCGAAAATGTCTCAAGCTTTAGGTATTTTACTACTCGGTAAGACAAGATCCCATAAACTCTGTCGGAAGACCCTACAGTAACATGTGGGTATCTATCACACATCAGCAGGAAAGGAGCTTCAAAGGCCACTCCATTTCATCCTTACAGCAACCCACAGAGGTATATTGCCCTCCATTTCGAAAGAAACTGAGGCTCAGAATTGCAATGACTTGTTCATATAGCTAATTAAGTAATAGCAGGATTTGAAGCTGAAGCTAATGACACTGTCACTACATCCTGGCTGCTTCCATAAAATCTTATAAAACTGAAAACATTAACTGGGGCAAAGCATAGTCACCAGTAGTATGGTCTTTTTAAAATTATTATTATTATTTAATACTTCCCTAAACTCTATGACAATACAGCTACCTACTTAAGTTACCCTATAATAATAATAATTGGTGTCGTATGGAGAACATTATTTTTTTTGCACATATTTGGAACAAAGCCATCTGTCCATTAAGGTTTATTATTCTCAATACAATAAAAAGAATATAAAAAATAGATATCCAATCTGCAAAGCACAGTTCACCAAAAAGAGACACATGTACTCACCTTTCAAAAGTGCGACGGAGAGCTGGTCAGTGTTCAGGTTATTGACATATTTCCCCAGGTAGGTATTAAGAACCCAGGCTACAAGACCTTCCAACATGACTATATCCTCAAGACAAGGTGTTTAAAACTCATGGACTATTCTTTATTTCTCTCTCTCATGGTCACAGAAGAATCTATGGAAGAAGAAAAAAAAGAAATGAACAGAAAAACCAGACAATTTTCCCAAGATGATATCCTACTCTATCTGTCCTGAAAGTAGATGGATACCAAGCACAGATTTAAGAAAACATGGGGTGAATGTTCATAGCACCACCATTTACAATAGCCAAGAGATGAAAGCAACCTAAGTGTTGTCAACAGATGAATGGATAAAGAAGGTGTGGTTTGAAGGTGTGGAATACTACTAAGCCATAAAGAAAAGGAAAGGGACTTATCTGGTGGTCTAGAGGTTAAGCAATGCAGGGGACACAAGTTCAATTCCTGGTCAGGGAACTAAGACCCCACATTCCTCGGAGCAACTAAGCCCACACGCTACAACTGCTAAAGCCCACGTGCTCTGGAGTCCCCAAGCCACAACTACTGAGCCCACATACCACAACTAGAAAGTCCACATCTCAACATGAGATCCCGAACAACACAACAAAGACGCCACGTGCCATAAAACATGATGAAGCCAGATGAATAGATATTTTTTAAAAAGAAAGAAAATATTGCTATTTGCAGCAACATGCATGGACCTAGAGAATCAAACTAAGTGAAATCAGAGAAAGACACATACTATATCATTTATATGTGAAATCTAAAAAAAAATACAAATGAATCTATATATACAACAGAAACAGACTCACAGACATAGAAAATAAACTTACAGTTACTAAAGAGGGAAGAAGGGAGGGATAAATTAGGAGTATGGGATAAGCAGACACACAGTACTAGACATAAAATAGATTTAAGCAACAGTGATCTACTGTGTAACACAGGGAACAATATTCAATATTGTATAACAACCTATAATGAAAAATAAATCTGAAATACATATATTTAGAACTGAATCACTTTGCTGCACACCTGAAACTAACTTCAATCTAAAAAAAAAAAGAATGATGAATGGGAAACACTGTTAAGATGCCACCACTAGTAAATGGAGGGCCAATACATTACAAACTGATGCAGCTGCAAAGAATGGTCACTTATAAATTAATCAAAAATTACCTACAATTCAAAGTTGTGCATCTTTTTGATGTAACTGATCATGAAACTGATTGCTTTTGGTGACTAACCTGGGGACTAGGCTGTCCTGATCAGAGGTTCTATCCAGACGTGACCTGGAAACATCTAGAGATATTCCTGAATATTATGACTGGGGGCTGGGGCAGGGAGCAGTTGGGGGGGCGGTGGCTGGAATTTTGCAACTGGTACCTTGTGAGAGGAGACGGGCCATGGAACCTGCTGAACTCCCTACAGTGCACAAGACAGCCCTTCACAGCAAAGAATTATCCAGCCCAATATGCCAACAGTACCAAGGATGAGAAACCCTGTCCTAGATTAAAGCAAAAATGGCCCAAGTGGGACTTTCCTGGTGGCGCACTGGATGGGAGTCCGCATGCCAATGCAGAAGACACAGGTTCAAACATTGGTCCAGGAAGATCCCACATGCCTCAGGGCAACTAAGGCCGTGCGATACAACCACTGAACTGTGCACTACAACTGCTGAACCACCATGCCCTAGAACCTGTGCTCCTCAACTGAAGCCACGGCAAGGAGGAGCCCTCACACTGCAACGAAGAGTAGCCCCCAGCTCCCCACAACTAGAGAAAGCCCAAGAAAAGCAACGAAGACCCGAGTGTGTTAAGTTGCTTCAGTCGGGTCCAACTCTTTGCGACCCCACAGACTGTAGCCTGCCAGGCTCCTCTATCCATGGGATTCTCCAGGTAAGAATACCGGACTGGGTTGTCATTCCCTCCTCCAGGGGATCTTCCTCACCCAGGGATCTAACCCAAGTCTCTTATGTCTCCTGCATTGGCAGGTGGGTTCTTGACCACTAGTGCCACCTGAGAAGTCCAACGAAGACCCAATACAGTAAAAAAAAAAAAACAAAAAAAATAGAAAAATGGCCTAAGAGATTGGATCAATGAACTTCATATTCTGCAAAGATCCTCTTAAACCTTCCTGAAATCAATTTTGCAAATTTATCAGGATCATTTGTAAAATGATATAAATGGAAGGGAGACAGTAGTGGTTTATCACTGTTCTTAAAACATTATTGGTACTTAGACACCAGCTGATGCTGATACCTTAGTCAGTAATTACGAACACCAGAAATCTTCTGGTTCCAGCTATAGTATTCACATCCAGTACTGATTTTATTACTGTCCACCATAATAACTGGTGTCCATTAGCATTACAAAAAATAATTTTTAATATTCCATAAAATTAACATAGTGAACTTGAGACATAAAAGTTTAAACAGGTATCAAGATTTCTCAGCTAGTAGATCCCAGTTAGAGTTAGATGTGTGCTCCACATCTTGCTCTGAGCCAAGCATGTGGGACACCGGCCTACCAAGCCTGAGGCTCCAGGTTTGCTGTGGCAGGCATCCCACTTGGAAATGGCCCTTTCCGGATCCTTTCCAAGCACTTTGCCCCACCTCCAGTGATTCATCTTAGTGCCAGAAGACACTCTTAGGCCAACTGAGAGGCCTCCACCCACCAAACCCCCCCCAAACACAAAGCTCTTTTAAGAGTTAACCTGCAGGAAAAATTGTTTTTTATTCGTCAGCAGTGTTCTGCATTTCCAGATTAAATTAACTCTTATTTGTCAACAATGACAGTAAAAACATATAAGAAAATAAATCTTTGTTGTTGTTTAGTTGCTAAGTCATGTCTGACTCTTTTGTTACCCCACGGACTGCAGCCCCGCCAGGCCCCTCTGTCCATGAGATTTCCCAGGCAAGAATACTGGAGGGGGCTGCCATTTCCTACTTCAGGGGATCCTCCTGACACAGGGATCAAAGTCGAGTCTCTTCAGTCTCCTGTACCGGCAGGCAGATTCTTTACTACTGAGCCACCTGGGAACACTTCTTTCCAAAGATCTTTTGTAAAGCACATTTTATGCTAAAAATTATGGGGTACATTTATTTAAAGAAGAGATTACAAGAACAAGTTTCTTAAAATAAGAATAAAGGGAACATTTCTTTATTATAACTTTAAACAAGTAAATCTTTGAAAACAAAACATGAATCTGACTAATCTAGTCTAACTATGCAAACTCCAAACACACTTAAACAAAGAGCCAAAGTCGGAGTACTCTTCATTTTTGAAGTAACTGCCATTGATTCTGGCCCTAAATGCCAACAAACTCTGAAGTGCCAACTACAAGTGCTCTCTGAATAGGCATAAAGGGAAACAACCATCAGTGTGTACACAAGATCTGGCCCTGTTCTACTTCCCCTGAAGGTGGAGGAAGCCCAGATTAAAAAAAGATGGGGTGAGAGGCACTATAAAACGCCCTGGGCAATAAACAGGTTAAGGCCCAAGCCAGACGGCATCCATAAACTTTGCTAAGCATCTAAACCAGGCTTGAGGCCACTTCAAGGATTCCCTTAAGGAATCCGGTGTCAGGAAGGGCCCCCAGGCTGGCCAGAATCCTAAAGTGCTTACACCCCTGTCCATCAGGGCTTCTCGGCAGCTGCCTGGCACTAACCACCCTCCTGGCCTCCCCTAATTGGTGGGGCAGGTGACACTGGAGATCAGTACTCCGTCCACGGGCGGACAGACAGCTGGCCATGACCTTGAGCCAGGCCCCTCCCTCGAGGGGCGGCTGAAGTCCTAAGTAGGAAGGGCTGGCGACAGGAGAGGAGACGGCGGGGCGGAGGGTTGCCGGCACAGGGAGCTCGGAGATCAGCGGCCGGAGAGGGGCGGGGGCCAGGCCCGGGGCCCCGCAGGAAGAAAACAGACCAGGAGGCCAGGCTCCCCCTAGCCCGTGCGCCTCCTCTCTGCTAAGAACCCTAAGCCCAGCTCCGGGGGACGGAGACCCCACCTACCAGATAGAGCCAGGAGGGAACAGCTCCAGGTGTCCCCAAGCCCCGGGAAGGAGGGGCTCAGCAGGGCATGACCCCGGAGGGCGAGGGGCAAAGACAGGTTTGAGGCCTGATGTTCCCAGCCCAGACCGTGACCCCAAAGGCTGAAGAAGGGGGTGGTTAAGACCCTCTAAAACCCTGACCGGAGACCCTTCTTGGGAACAGGTAGCGAGGCTCACACACTGGGCTCTCGTGTGGAGACCAAGGCTCCGGCGGGGAGACGCCGGTTAACACTTCCTTGATCCCCGGACACCAGGCTGCCCCGACCCTGGAGAGGATGCGGGGTCTGGCGGGGGCTCCCACTCCCCATGACACGGACGCCGGAGTCCCTCGAGGCTCAGGACGTCCGAGCGTGTGGCTAGGGTGCCCGCAGGGGCTCGGACGCGGGGGTCCCGGTGAGGGCGGGACGCTCGGGGATGTCGAGGGCTCGGGCGCCCCAAGACTTCACCAAGGAGCTCGGAGGGCCCGACGGTGGGGTCCCCAGGCTCCCCGCGCCGCGCCCGCCTCAGGCGGGCCCGGGCCTCTAGGTCTGAAGCAGATCCCGAGCAGCCGACCGCGGGCCCACGCCCACCCTGAGTCCCCCGGCCCTACTCGCCTCCCGGCGCCGCCCTGCCTCGGCCCGTACCTGTCGGTGTCCGGACCGCCCGCCCCAGCCCGGCACTGCGCGGCGCTTCCTCTCCGCGGCTCCTCAATGGCGCTGGCCGGCTGCACTCAGGCCCGCCCCGACCCGACCAATCGAGCGAGCGACTCGCCGGCGCCTGGCCAGCCGAGCGCCGAGTCATCGAGGAGGCGACGCCGGCCGCCCCCTCCAGAGCTCGCAGGTGCTGGAGCAGAATGGGGAGAAAGGCCCGAATAGCCTCATTTTATAGCATGTTGGGTAAACCGAGTCCGGGGGAAGGCTACAGGTTGAGATGATAATATTTAGGACAGACTGGCCTGCAGTCGGTTCGGCACTTAGCAGTCCAGGGGTCTGTTAAAACATAATTCAGACTTTGCCATTTGCCTGCTTCCCCACCACACTTAAATTAAAACCCTTTCCTCAGAGAGCCGAAACCAAGATCCTAATGAATTTGTTCCACTCCGATTTTTGCTACCCTTTCCTGGGCCCGCTCTGCCCCAGCATCCTCCAGTTCCTACCTTTGGACCTTTGATTTCGCATCTCTCTGCTTAGGATGCTTTTACAGAAACCACTGCTGTCCAGTGGGAGCATAATGCAGTTGCTGTTGTTCAGTCGTGAAGTCGTGTCCAGTTCTTTGCGACCCATGGACTGCAGAACGCCAGGCACCTCTGTCCTCCACTATCTCCCAGAGTTTGCTCAAACTCATGTCCATTGAATCAGTTTTGCCATCCAACCATCTCATCCTCTGCCACCCCTCTTCTCCTTTGGCCTTCAATCTTTCCAGGTATCCGGTCTTTGCAAATGAGTCGGCCCTTCGCATCAGGTGGCCAAAGTATTGGAGCTTCAACTTCAGCAACAATCCTTCCAGTGAATATTCAGGGTTGATTTCCTTTAGGATTGACTGGTTTGATCCCCTTGCAGTCCAAGAGACTCTCAAGAGTCTTCTCTAGCACCACAATTAGAAAGCATCAATTCTTCAGCACTAAGCTGCATACTAAATTTACTTAGTTGGTACATTTTTTAAAGGGAAAACCAAAAGGTGAAATTAATAATATATTTTATTTAATCCAACATGTTCTAAATATTATCATCTCAACCTGTTCAATTCAGTTCAGTTGCTCAGTCATGTTCAACTCTTTGCAACCCCATGGACTGCAACATGCCAGGCCTCCCAGTCCATCATCAGCTCCCAGAGTTTACTCAAACTCATGCCCACTGAGTGGATGATGCCATCCAACCATCTCATCCTCTATCATTTCCTTCTCCTCCTGCCTTCAATCTTTCCCAGCATCAGGGTCTTTTCAAAATGAGTCAGTTCTTCGCATCAGGTGGTCAAAGTATTGGAGTTTCAGCCTCAACATCAGTCCTTCCAATGAATATTCAGGACTGATCAACCTGTAACTAACAGGAAAAGTATTATTAATAAGATGTTTTGGGGACTTCCTTGGTGGTCCAATGGCTAAGGCTGCACCCCCAGTGCAGGGGCCCTGGGTTTGATCTCTTGTCAGGGAATTAGATCTCATATGCCACAACTAAGTTCACATGCCACAACTAAAAATCCCACATGCTCCAACTAAGACCTGGTGAAGCAAAATAAATAAATAATTTTTTTTAAAAAAGAACCACTGTCAAAAAAAAAAGACATTAGTTTTTTAAATCTGGTGTGTATTTTACACTACGGCACGTCACAATATAAATGCTGCCTTTCACATGCTCAATAGATGTATCTGGCTACAGGGCAACTCTGAATAATCACACAGCCCACTCTTTGTTTCAAACATTCCATCTCATAGGATTTCCCTGCTGCCCTATCTTAAGTTCCCCTCATCCATTATCCTGTTATATTATCTTCACAAAATTTAATGCTGTCTGAAATGAGATTATTTTATTTACTTGTTTATACTTAAAGGAAATTAGTCCTGAATATAATTGGAAGGACTGATGCTGAAGCTGAAACTTCGAAACTCTGGCCACCTGATGCAAAGAACTGACCCATTGGAAAAGACCCTGATACTGGGAAAAATTGAAGGCGGGAGGAGAAGGGGGCAACAGAGGATGAAGTGGTTGGATGGCATCACCAATTCAATGAACATGAGTTTGAGCAAGCTCTGGAGGTTGGTGATGGACAGGGAAGCCCGGTATGCTGCAGTCCATGAGGTTGCAAATAGTCGGACACGACTGAGCCACTGAACTGACTGACCCACATCTTTTCTTCCCTCACCCTAAATGTTCCCTGACAGCAGAAATTGTGTCTTTTTCACAAATGTTTCTTCAGTACCTAGACTTGGCCTGACACAGGAAGGACTCAATGAAGGTGCTGTGAATGAATGAACAAATGAACAACTCATTTTGGATTATCACCAGAAGGACAGGAAGAACAACTCAGGCTCATATATAGTCAGAAGATGCAGGACGCAGGCTGGCAAGGGTACGGGTATCTGTTCACCATAATAATTATGAACCTTCAGGATGCTAAGCTAATGAAGGTGCTTGTGGGCTGACTCACTCCTAAGGAAAGCCTAGGTTCCTGTGAGGTGGGGTCAACCCATTAGAATCTCAACACTGGGTGTCCTCAGAGGCTGAGGTTTGGGTGTAAAACCCCAAACTCCACAGAAGGCAGAAGGGAAGGCACCCCTCAGAACTTATCTCAGAATCCAGATATTCCAGCCCAGAGACACCTGGTTGTAGGAGTTTGTGCCAGGACACCATTCCTTCAACCAATGTCACTGAGAGTCATCCATCTCACCATCCGTTTACCACACGGCCATCTCATTCCTGGGTGTTTACACAAGAGAAAATCAAAGCACATGTGGGGACTTCCCTGGTGGCCCAGTGGCCAACAATCTGCCTGCCAATGCAGAGGACATGAGGTTCAATCCCTGGTCAGGGAAGATTCCACGTACCTTGGGCAACTGAGCCCATGTGTCACAACTACTGAAGCCCAGGAGCCCTAGAAGCTGTGCTCCGCAATAAGAAAAGCCACCGCATTGAGAAGCCCTCGCACCGCAATGAAGAGTACCCCCCAACTCACCACAACTAGAGAAAGCCCGAGTGCAGTAACAGACCCAGCACAACCAAATAAATAGATAAATATCCCTGCCCTCCTGGAGATTACATACCAGCAGGTGATGAGACACAGACAAAAAACAAAGTCAGCATAAAGCATGCAGGAGTGAGATGGTGATAGGCACTAAAGAAATAATACAGGGAAGCAAGGTGGGATCAAGGGGTGTACAGTTTTAGCTGGAGGTCTTAGTGGGAAGAACTGGCCCCCAGGGATACAAATTCAGGGAGTCTGGAGGAGGACCCAGCTCCCCAAGTGATGAGTTTGGAAACGTAGAGCTGGTCCAAAGTCCACATTGTACAGAAGGGGAAACTGAGGATTAGGAAAGGGAAGGAACTGACTCAAGATCACACAGAGAGACCACAGGACGAGGCAGGACTCTGCTGCAGGCCTGAAACCTTCTGCATGATGACCGCAGCTCACCCTCCACCCACCTGCTCCTTGTTATGGGGGACCCAGGGAACAGAGAGGTCGGTCAAATGTAGGCCTGGCAGAGGGGAAAGGGTTGTGCTGGCCACAGGGAAGTTCCTCCAACAGTCCCCCATCCATGCTGTGGCCTCCAAAGCTGCAAGTTTCAGATACGAGACAAGTGAAGGACTGCAGGAGATGGCGGATGTCCCCTAATTACCATCCAGGCTAGACCCTGGGGTGCATATTGGCCCAAGGGGCAGGTTTTCTGGGGCAGGCAGATTTGAGAGGCCCTCCTCAGTACGTCCCAATAAAGGCCTCTCCCCACCTGGCCTCCAGATGGTCTAGACCAGATGGGGTGCAGACAGACAGTTTTGGGACCCCAGAGACAAGACATGAGGCCAGGAGGTTGGCTTCAGGAGCCAGGGCAAGATGTTGGGGTTTGTTTCCTAAATGATGGCAAAGATCTGAGTGTGGCCTGACCTGAGAGTTGGGAAACTGAGCTTCAGTTATTTTATCTCCATAATTGCCCTGGGAGATAGGCAAGGTACCCATTATCCATGCCATGCAGAGGAGGCGCTGGGCCAGCTGGGCTTGATACTCATTTGAGGAGTTGAGTTGGGTGGACAGTTTGTTTACTATAGGGGGCTCCTGATAACCAGCTCTTTAGAATTTCCTCTCTCTCCAGGGACTTCTTTGCCCTGCCTGGAGCTCCATATTCAGAAACCAGAGTAGCATCTGGAAAGCCAGGAGGCTGCTTGGGGCAAACCTAAAGGTTAAGAGTCTATATGTAAAATAGCCAGTGGGAGTTCACTGTATGATGCAGGGAACTCAAAGCCAGTGCTCTGTGACAACCTAGATGTGTGGGGTAGGGAGGGAGGTGGGAGGGGGTTTCAAGAGGGAGGGGACATATGTGTATGTATGGCTGATTTATGTTGATGTATAACAAAAACCATCACAATATTGTAATTATCTTCTGATTAAAAATAAAATTTAAAAAAGAGTCCTGGGATTGCACCCTAGCTTCACCTATAACCTGCTATGTGAACTTGGAGCAGCTGCTGGCCCTCCCTTCACCAAAGCCTCAGCTCAAATACCAGCTCCTCAGAGAAGCCTTTTTGAACTCAACTTGCAAACTCTCAGTACTCCCACTTCTGTTTGTTTCCCATGTTGTTTTATTTCTTAAACTCACCAGTGGCATAGCACTCACACATATTTCTTCACATAGCCCCACCTAGCATCCCAACTCCAGCAGAAACCATCCTTGCCTTGCATTCTGCTGCATCCCCAGCACACACACAGCAACTAGTATTTATTGAGCACTTACTATGTGCCAGACATAGTCCCAAGTACTTTATAGATAGTAGTTCATGTAATCCCTTATTCTGACAGAGATATTTTAACCCAATTTTAGAGGTAAGGAGAGTGAGGCACAGAGAAAGTCATTAATTTGCTTGAGGTTACACAAACAGGAAGTGGCGGAACCAAGATTCACACCTGGAAAAGTGGATTTCTAGCGCCCCCAACTCTGGACTTCTTGACTTCTGTGCCAGTCCATCAAGGTGCTCCCTAACAATGATGCCTGAATGTAAACTCGATGGAGAGGA